AAAATGAGAAAATTCTTAAACTCTGCAGTCAGCATTTGAACAAATATATGCCTTCACTACATTTGATGCCTCATGGAGCATTTTAAACCTTATGGAATGTATATGGTGCAAAGGATAAAAACTTTTTACTTTAATATCAAATAGACATTCTAAAAATGAGTGATGGTGGAACTATTTCTGTTGATTGGGCTTATCCAACTGAAGAGAATAATCTCAATCAAACAGAAACAAAGGTTTGCATGATATTTCCTGGATTGAGTGGAGATAGTAGCAAAGGGTATGTGAAATGCTTAGTAAAGCATCTTTCTTAGGAAAAAGGCTATATTGTCGGAGTTTTCCATAATAGAGGTATTATTAACGAATATACATCACCTCATTTTTCTGACATCACTAGCTCTGAAGAATTAGATATTGCAATTAAGCATATGATATAGAAATTTTCTGACAAGCCAAATCCTAGATTTGTAGGTGTCGGTATGTCAATGGGAGCTAATCTTATGCTAAAAATAGCAGGAGAATAGTAAGAAAATTTCCCATTAGAAGCTATGGTTTCTCTCAATAATCCCTTTGATGTTTGGCTCGCAATCAATCTTATGAGAGGTACACCTTATGAAAAATTTCTATCAATAGAATTGAGAAAAAATACCATAATGAAGTAGGGTGCCTCTGAATAGGAAAAGGAAGTTTTCAGACAAATGGAAAAGTTATATAATTTGGACTTTGAAAAATTAAAAAATATTGAATCTTGGAGGGATCTTGATACTTATTTAACAACTAAAGTACATACTTAATTTAAAACAGTAGCATAATACTATCATGCAGCATCTTGCTTTAATGTGATTTAGGGAGTAAAAAGGCCTACTTTAGTTATACACTCTAAAGACGATCCTATTATACCAATAGAATGCTTACCAGTAGATGAGTGTCTAGCAAATGATAAGATGATAATCGGGATAGTTAAAAAAGGTGGCCATGTATGCTACTTTTAGGGGTTAAAGGGTTAAAAACGTTGGTATCCTATGGTAAGCGGTGAGTATCTTGATGCAGTTCTTAGCCTAAAAAATTAAGCTTAAAATGAATCACAAGGAATTTCATTTAATCGTCAAGTAGTCATTTGATATTTAATTAAAATATACCTAAAAATCTAATAAATAGTTTTGAATTGTAATTATCTTCAATCTAATTCTTATCTGGCAAAACCCCTGAAGTAAAAGTAAGCTTTATCATGAAATCAAGATTAGATATATGTTTATATTCATTTTAATGATTATCATTTTTGTTGTTGCCAAATTTGATTGTATTGATCTTATTAGCTTTGATTGTCATTCTCACTCTTGAATATGTCGTCTGACTTTTATAGAGAGTCCTAGTGTTTTATCATATAATCAAAGAACCCTCTAGCAGCTCTGCTTTGTCTTCTCTTCTTGAATGCGTCTGTGTTATTAAGTGACTATGTCATTGCTGGATCCTAGAACTTAACACTTTTCTTTCTGCGTTGAATATTCTAATCTTTTATAGGCAAATCTTGCTCATAGATGGGTGGAGGATTATTATTATCGTTAAGCCAAAGAAATCCGATCTAATTATCTCCTTCAGATTAAGGTCTATTGAACTTTGAAAACCTCTTTTGATCTATAACGATTGCATTTGGGTTTATATCGTCATGGTCCATGTAAAAGTCATCTTATTCATTTTCACTTAATGATTCCTAAAATATTCCTTATGGATCACCTGGACCATTGGTAATTGGAGTTATAGGCTTAGAATTTGTTTGTATAGGCTAATTGGTAGAATATGCCTCAGGAGGTATATTATCACCGCTTCTCAGAGACCTTTCCTCAGATGACGAGGATTCATCTTAATCAGATGGATTGTAGATCTCAGTTGGCTTTATCTACATTTCTTCTTTCTTCTTTTGAATAAGTTGTGGCTCCTTGTTTTTGTAGAGTTTCAGAGTTGACAAGAAGAATTTTTTATAGTCAAAATTCAGATATTTCTACTCAACTTCAGATATGAACCTGAGTCTCTCTATCCTTCTTCTATCCTTAAAAGCAAGATAGGTCTCATATATCTTAAATGGAAAAATGAAGCATATGTTGACTATGACCATCAAAATAACCAAGCCAATTACAATCCAAGCTAAATGCATTTAAGAATTGAAACTTACAATAGAACTGAACAGTTGATTACTTTTAATTCTCAACAAATATAAATAGATAGCATCCTATTACAAATAAGAAGATCTCATTAATAATTGAAAAAGTATTAAGAATTTCATCCTTGTAAGGTCTCATCATTACAAATACCATAATCATCTAAAAACTAATTAGGAGTTTTAATTTCTACAGTAAAATTGATGACTTAGAACATGATGAGTTAGACTATAGGATATTTAGAGAAGAATACCAAAGTCATTATGAATAGAGTCCTTCTTGCTATGAAAAATGTGGTATGCATGTAGTGAAACCATTTTTTATGCTTGTACTCTTCAAATAAACTTCCAAACTATTCCTTAATTTCTTTATTTTAATGGAATTTGTGTCTTTGCTAATAGAGGAAAAAGCATGAAAGCACCGGGAATAAGATAGAAATGCAAAGGAGTAAGAGACTTAAGAAAGAACAGAAGACATTCAAATGAGAGTCAAATTCAAGCTGTATTTATTTTAAGTGCTTAAATCTTACATTTAGGATATTGATATAGGCAGAAGTATTGATTTCAAGGAAACCCTCCAAGTAAAATCTTATAAATGTATTATAAATGAAGCTTTGCTCCAAATTATGAAGTATTTTTCCTCTAAAATTAGTTAAGAAATTAATTGGCTTACTTTCCACAGCATCTTAGTGACATATTTTTAGCGATGTTCAGGAGGCAATAAAACACTACAAATACTACAATAATCATCATTTGAGATTGTAGATTCATGACAATCTTCATTGAGGAGTATCCATTCTGATTAAAATTCGAATGTAAGGCATAATCATTAGGGAACGTATTGCCGTTCAAATTGAAAATGTAAGCGAAAAAGTTTGCAAATATCGATACATCAGAGTTCGCTATAGAAAGATAGGAAAACATGGTAATTATATTTGAAGGGAACTTAATCATCAAATTTGGAATATAATTGATTATCTGGATGACATTTAAAAATGTCCACATTATTTCCATACTTCCACTACTCAAAAACATGATCAAAGCATTAAATGCCAGAGCAGTTAGGAGAGATATTAATATACCAGTACCTGTTCCTTCAATTATAGCTTTTTCAGATGGAGAGAGATAATCTTAAGCTAATAAATCTGTACTTAATGGCAAGAACTCGGATCTTGATGATGAATTTCTAGCAAGAAGCTGATAGCCTCTTGAATCTGAGATAAATACATTCGAAATGTACAAGAAAATCTTCTCATCTCCATTTAGTATTTGAGGGATGTCAAGTTCTAAGAAGACATCCTTTGCATAAGTGTTGCTTTCCCAATAAGGAGCTCTCCAGGAAAAAGAATAAGGTTCATTTGGCCCAGAAATACTTAAAGTAATGATATTATCTATAGTATCACCAAAATACTTAACAGGCGAAGAAAATCGCATGATAAGATATCTATTGTTGTAGTTACTAATTTACATTGGATAGGGCTGAGCAATACATTTCATCCAATCAGTTGTGTAATAGAAATCAAAGCAGGGCTCACAAGTATTTGATTTTTCAACATAGGTATAAGTCTCATTATATGGCTAATCAATCTATTGACAGCTGTCCAAACATTTTCCTTTCCAATTTGGTTTGTGATGTTTACATTTGTAACACTATGAATTTGAAGGTCCATAGCAAGTATCACAGTTTTGATGGCAAAGTAAACATTGATTTTTGTCTGAGTCTAGATAGTAGCCATCTTTACATTTGCAATTACCCAGTTCTCCTGATGTAATGAATGCGTTTTCAATGCATGCTGTACAGTAATTATTACTTCTAGAAGATGAATCTGAATAGCAAGATGTACACTGTTCATTAGTGCAGTTTCTGTCAAGGCAATAAAGATAACTTGATGAGTATGAATTTGTATAGCAGCTTGAGAAGCAAGTTGCTGAGGCAAGATATTAATCGCATCCAAAACAAGTTGGATATCCTTCTCCTGTAAAAGGTGAGCATTTATTTTTCAATGGGTAATTTCTTCTAGGTGTATAATACATATGTGTAAGCGATTTGTAGGTTTTCCATATATAAGCGTTTCTAATGAAGCCTGTGAAACCTTAGCCAATCCTGGTATCGAAGAAATACGGCTTTTCCGTGACTTCGTCATAATAATCATTAATCACTCCACAACCACTCTTTTCATAGTTATACGGTCCCCAGAGATACATGCAAATCTTGGATTGAAACGACTCCTTGTCTACTGGATAATATAGAGTAGCAAAACTTACACCAATATATACCCAGCTCTCAGGGAAAGAGGAAGTGTTATAAACATTTAGTACTTCAAGAGCTTGAGATTTATTAAAATCTACTATAAAAGAATTGTTAGGAGCAAAGTAAAATTGGAAAAATGGAGTATCAACTCCTGATGTCTTTATCTTTTAGAAAAGATACTGATTTTGAGTAATCTTGCTTTGTGTGAACCTGACCCAGAGTTCAATTGTGAAATACTTATCTAATGTCAGTTGATTGGCGCTTATTTGGTTGCTCATATAATCATTACCGTCAAAATATAAGCCATTAACTTCCGATCGATGAGGTTCATTATCCAAAGTTCTAGCATCCGAAGGGGCATTGCCGAAATAAAAATTAAATATCTATGTTCCCACTGTACTTCCAAAGTAATACCTTGATGTGCCTGATGGTGCTCCATTAAAACTATATTTAGCCTTTTAATAATTTGCAATAGTTTTTGAAGTCGAGAAATCCTCAAGGCATATATTAGCAGTCGATGTGACATACATAGGACACATTTCACACAAAAGCTGTGCAGTGTTTGTTGTGCAATCATAATCAACCATATTGTCTAAATTATCAAGTGTCAAAAGCACAGTTGAGTATAATCTTAATTCAAGGATGTAGCCAGAAAATCCAGATTTTATCGTTAATCCATCATAAGCATATTTACCACCAATCAGCAGGTCATAGCTTACATCATCTTGATAAGCATAACTAAATGTTTTATAACTAGCTACTACCTTTGATCTGGAATATGCAACCACTCTTAATCTTGAGTATGCGCTAGCTGCATCCATCTAAATCAAAAAGGCGATAAAATTCCAGCCCTCTTATACTTCAGCATCAAATGCTAGAGTTTCTCCCAGCATTGAAGCATAAAAATATCCATTCTTGATGCCGAGACATAACTTGTCAGAAACATCGTTTCCTGAGTTTCTATTTTACTTGCATACAAGAGTCTAATCTCGTTGGTTGTCAAAAATATAGGCCCACATCGTTACTGATGAGCCTGAGTAGCGAAGTTCATTGCTGAATAGTGTGTAGGTATTTGATGCTTTCACATAAGCAAATTACTCACCTGTGAAAAGCAGCCCGAAATCAGTGCTTACTGTAGGTCTAAAGCTTGTACTGCTAGAATCTCCTAAATATAGAGCTGTGTCGATTCCTTTCAAAGCATAGGTAGCATCTCCTGTTCCAACAACTTTTGATGCAGTACCACCAGTACAAATATACTTATTAAAATATGTAGTTGTATCAGCACCCAGACCTTTATGCTTGCATTAAAGAAAAGAATTATACTTGAATTAATTAGCAAAAGTGTGCTAATTAGATACTTTAAATATGATGCCATTTTATATTTGCTCTTCATAGTTCTATTTTTAAATTTTGCTTATTATAATCAATCCTTAAAGTAATTTCAATTCATTTTATTCTATTTACATTCTTGAAAATCTTATGCTACAATTCTACTGGGGTTTTGGGGTTTTGGGG